TCACAATAATATTTCTGAAACAAGAATTGGTGTATTTACGCGTCGTTAAATATCTTATATTACAAATATATATTGTAGAATTACTTAAATTATACTAACAGGTCCAATCTCTACGTGCACTTAAGCTTTATTTCTTTGTTTAATATCCTTACTTAATTTAAAAGCAATACAAACCTTTTGCTTAATCGCTTAAATGATTCCTGAAACAAGGACAATTTGAACAAAAATTCATGCACATTTCTGAGTAGTTAAAAGTATTTGAGAGCCCAGAAATTTATAGATACAAAAAATATTAATTACAGTAATGCACAATCGGTTTGACGCTGGCGTCGGTATTGCTTAAAATGTACAATAAAAAAATAATAAATTCAACATGTTTTTTTATTTATTCGGATCATCAATGTCTTGAAAATCTTCCAACACGCGGATTAAAAATTCCGCTTCCTACAATAATTCATGGTGCCTGCAAAAAAACTATATAAACTTATCATTTTCGCTCAATAGCGAGAAAAACTTAATTGAATCAACAATTTTTAATTTTCATCAATAAACATGCTTGTGACTCGTCAACCCAACATCAGAAAAAGGTACAGAACCGTTTACTACAAACTTATTCAAAACAAAGCGAGAATATTACCTAATCAAACAAAAGACGAAACGTCCATTCGAATTTACAAAAAATTTGCAATCGTATCCATGTCAGTGAACCTTGTTACTCCACCACTCATTGACGATGTCATAGAAATAATCATGCGATGCTGAATTGAATCAACCTTTAAAGCAGTACTAGAGGGCGAATTCATGCAAGAGGATGGTTTGTATCGCACCTGCTCCTTTGCGTGGAAACGCTTCCCCATCATATTCTGGTCAGAATTCGAAAAAAAGAAAGAAACCCTAACAACAATGTCATACTCTGAATTCCTCATGCGTGTGTTTAGAAACAAAGCCTTCAAAACCTTGTTATGCAAAGAAGCTAGACAAAACAAAGAAAGAGCCACCAAATCGCAAAAACTATGGCCAAAGAACTCCTAGATCCAAAGATTATGTATATAATGAACCCAAGAGATCTAATAAGGCTGTTCCTCTCGGTAAACGCCTTTATCAAAATCCTGCATACAGAATTACAAATTCTTTACAAACGTAAGGTCACCTTCAGTGCGAACTTCATTGAACTCTTAAGACATTGGCTTGACGTGGATGAATTCATAGATAAGTTGTACGATTCAAATTGCATGAGACACACGAGCACCAACGACATTATTATATCACATATATTGTCAGAAAACCATATGCCGTTCCTCTACGAATAGCTCGCTGCTTATGGTCCTTACAATACCAACAACGATATGATTAGACATCTCAAAATACACCTGGAAATGATTAATAGGTCCATCAGGAAATACTGGGTCTTTTCGTTGGCTTTTGATAAACAAACAGCCAGAGATGCCGCGGACACGTTGACAACTCTGACATTTCACAAGTCGTATTCTCTTTTTAAAAAATATCTTACGGACCTTGAAGAAAAAATTATTCTCAGAAATAATTGGACTGCAGGTGATAACATAAAAGAAATTAAATGCCTTGAAAACTACACATACCTTTTCAGAAACGACAAAGCCAAATCAACCGCACTCAAAAGTTTTATGCATGACTGCCACCAGGCTCTGATTAATAATACGGCAAGAATAGCCTGCGAGGTGTCCATCGTTACTTTGGTTGAACTATTGTTTGATACTTCGAATAGCCTTCAAAAATAGTAAAATTATCATGTAGTCTATCTTAATACCTTTACTTTATAATAAATATTCAATTAACAATATATTTTATTATATTTATAATGTATACTAAATAAAAAATAGCTGTGTTACTAATACAGTAATAAATATTCATCATTGTTACACGATATTAGTATTAGATCTTGTGCAATATTCTGGTGTTTGCTAATCGGGCAAACCATTTAATAGTCTTTTGAAGAGTAGATTTCTTTCACGTTATTTCAATATACCTATATAACAATAAATAATTTGGTAATCGTTAATAGTGTTCCAATCCATTATCTACTTATCCATTTATCCATTAGAATGAGTACCCTTATGTCCTGCAAATCCGGACCTCCGATCAAAATTTAGATAATTCGATATTACAGGTGCTTTTTATTTGCTTTTTGTATAAAAGTATAATCCTACATGTAAAATTTTATTCTGAAAGTTTTTACTTAAAGTCAGTAAGCAGGTTGCCATAGTAAAATTTTGTGTTAGCTGCGGTTTGTTAGTTTTTTCTTTGTTTTTGTTACCAATTCTTCGCGCGCTATCGCAAAAGGCTTTGTTTAATGATAAATGTTGCTTGTTCAAATAAGGAGATAATTAATTCATATTTGTTTTAATTTATGCTATTTTCTATTTTACAAAACGAAACTCTGAGTTGTATATAATGATTAATAATATTATAGTTATGCAATGAACGAACTTTAACAAGTATGCTCAATTAATCTTAGAAAACTCCGTGTATAGAATTCCAAATTAAATCTATATTGAAAGGGTATAGTATGCGACAAATCAACAACTCAGAGTGCGCGAGATTATTTTGTCCAAAATTGTCACTGTTTCAAGAATTCATTTAAATGATAATGCAAAAAGTTTATGCCACTTTACAGGATACAGTCGTCCCTCATTAATATCAACCCGTTGATATCAACCTAAACTATAAAATGAATTTCTATATATTAAAGTTATATTAAAATTCCTCATATATATCAATTTTAATATGATCCCTCATTAATATTACTATCAACATGAATATAAAAGCGATCCAAATGGGTTGATATAAATGAGGGACGACTGTATTAAGCAAAGAAATGGGTTATATTTAGTAACGAGTAATGTAACCATTTGGTCAAAAGAATTAGTAACGCATAAGATACACCAATATCTATATAAAGGTCAAAATTATTCTTGTTTCAAGATTCTGAGTATCTAAATATTTTTTATTTAGCTAACCAATCACGTGACTTATTTTAGCATCTATTGGTGCTGAAATAAATACGTGACATTGAGAACTAATGCTACAGTATGTTTTATTCGTGAAAGTATTACTGTATGAAACAAAAAATAACATCCGGGCAAAAGACCGTGTTTATAGTAGTTTGCAATAATGTGTAAAAATTTTCATTCCATATTTACTTTGTTTCACTTTGCTTCAAAAATTAATCA